TAAACCCTAAACCCTCCTTAAACCCTTACTTATAACCTCCAAGTACACTAGGCTAAGAGCCAACCCAGAGGGCCAGGGGGCCGTGCGGCCGGCGAGCTCCATTGGCTCCTCTTCGGGGTTGGGCGGTTTGCGGCAGAACACACTGTATAGGGTTTAGGGCTTAGGGTTTAGCGTTTAGGGCTGAGGGTTTAGGGATTCGGGTTTAAGGCTTAGGCTTTAGGGCTTAGGGTTTAGGGCTTCGGGTTTAGGGACACAGGGTGCGGGGCTTGCGTCCCAAGGAGTGTTGGCTGAAGCGTGTTGACCGATACCTTCGCTTCATTGGAGCCCAATTTTGTGTCTGGTGCCGCGGGAGGCTGAAGCGGCGGGGTTTAGGGTTTCAGGGTTTCGCGTTTAGGGATATGGGGATTGGGTTTAGGGGCTTAGGTTTACGGTTTAGGGTGTGAGCTGCTGTGGGGGCTGGCCTTGCAATCAGAGGTTGCTTGGATAGCGAATACAATTTCTGTTTAAGTTCCTCTTGAGGGCTTCGAATTTAGGGTTTAGGGCTTAGGGTTTTCAGGTTCATAGTTTAGGGCGTATAGGGCTTAGGGCTTTAGGGCTCTGGGGATTCAAGATGTAGGGTGTGCAGTAGGGTTGAGAGACTGGGATGCTAGGCAAAGCCACTTAAAACCATTAAACAAGCTCAAAGAACCCGAATGCAGACCCTTCTAGACACCTGTATGAAGCCAAGCTTACACCTTTGAGCGAAACCTCACAGAACCCTTGTACGATGCTCCTAAACCCTAAACCCTAAACCCGTAACCCTCGGTAGCCGCTAAACATGAGGCACCAGACCCACACAGGAGCGCAACAACCCCGAACCTGATCCTGAAAAGCTCTGAGGCTTACGGTTTAGGGTTTAGGGTTTAGGGTTTAGGGTAACCCCTAAACCCTCATCCCCTGCATGGGCCGTGCGATTTGCCAGTTTGCTCATAGATAGAGCGGAACGTTGGAAAAGCTGTATCAGCAGAAAAGAAGGAAGTCCACTCCTGGTTGGTGAAGAAGTCAAAGGGGGCTATGCCGTTCCTGTTGCTCGAGGCTTTAGCCTAAACCCTAAACCCTAAACCCTGGCCCCTAAACCCTAAACCCTAAACCGGGTGGATTCGGGGTGGAGGCGCGGGAGTTGTTGGGGTTTAGAGGTTTGGGGGTTTAGGGTTTAGGGTTTAGGGTTCCACAATCCGAAAACCCCTGGCCCCTAAACCCTAAACCCTAAACCTATGCTTCCGTACTCAAACCCTAATGACTTCTCCTTTCCAAAGCCTCGTCGTTTTCAGCAAAACCCGCGAGGGCTCCGACTAAGCTCTATTCTCCTAAATCCCTAAACCCTAAACCCCCCGGTATAAACCCCTACTGCGTGTGAGTTCATCCAGCACCACGACCTCCTTCTCTCAGGGTTGGGATTAGGGGGTTAGGGTTTAGGGTTTAGGGTCCAGGGTTTAGGGTGTAGGGTTGAGGGTCTAGGGTTTGGGGTCTAGGGTTTAGGGTTTAGGGTGTAGAGTTTCGGGTAGTTTGCGCCTAAGCAGGCCGGGGTAGAAATTACGAGCTTCTTTGACAAAATAACACGACGGGACCCAAGTATGAACTCAAAACAATGGGATCCCTACTGCAAAGACCCTTAACGCCTTAAACCCTGATGTTGACATTTTTCAGGTGGGGTCTCGGCTTTTTTGATTCAGGAGACGTGCAGCAGAGTCTCATCCGCAGTGTTTCGAGCCATGTGGCATGGACCAACTTCAGCGAATCCTGGGGTGGGGATCCGGGTTTACTGGGTTCTTTTTAAGGGATATAAACTAAATTACTATAATAAGGAAACCCTATTATTTGCTCTAGATCCCGATTATGGCAACTTAAATCAAGCCCCTTAACAACCCAGTCCAGGGTTGAGGGTTTAGCGCTTAGGGTTTGGGGTTGAGGGTTTGAAGGCTCGGAACCCTGCTTAGGGTTGAGGGTTGAGGGTTGAGGGTTTAGGGTTTATATAAACCCTAAACCCTAAACCCTAAACCCCAAAACCCTAAACCCCTGAATCATACCTAAATCAATCACTCCCTGCAGGGAAGACTCCAGCTTTTCGAGAGAAACAACGCCTTGAGGCACAGACTTCACCTGGATCCATGGCAGCGGGGTGCTTGGAGGTTCATGGGTAGTTATAAGTAGGCTTATAAGTAGGGTAGCTACAGTTATAACCCATATTAGGGCACTTGTAACCCGACTTATAATGCCCATAAACCTCCAAGTACAGGGCTTAAGGTCGTAGGGTTTAGGGTTTAAGCTTGTAGGGATTAAGGTTGGCGGTTTTAAGGGTCTCGACGGTTAGACCCTGGGCCGTATGTCGGGGGTGGAGTTGGGACCAGGGGCTGTTGCCGATTGAGATTCTCACGTCGTTGCGACTCTAACGTACCGGTTTAGACGAGGGTTTAGAGTTCTACACATCGCTGAACCCTCAACCCTACATTATGGGCACGCAAGGGCACAAATACACACTGACGCATTACATGGGAAATCTACATCCACATCTCTTAGGTCTGAAGGTTTCCTGCCAAAGGGCCAAAAGCCTGGCTCACCTCGACATCTCTGGCGCCCGCGCTATGAACGTTCACACCTCAAGAACCCGAATCGCTAACCTCGACAACTACAGCCAACACCCCACAAACAAAAACAACAAAAGTTATCCACAAACCTGGTCTACGATTTACAAACTGTTTTAGGACTACACTTCGTACTGCATTTTCAAACACCATTTGTATTTTGAGTGGTAGTGGGTTTACTTGCACTCTCTGATAACCTCAAGCCTTGTTGGGCTGGATGTTGGACAGGCTGCTGCAATGCACAGGAAGAACTGATAGTGGTGACGATGATGAAAATGATGACGATGATGATTAAGACGATGAGGATGGCGATGACGATGAGGATGACGATG